TGCCCACCTTACCTCGGGAGGTTGAGTGATGCCACTGGGCCCCCGCCACCTGGAGATACAATTTCCTCCCATTGCCTGTAGGGCCCCCAATTCCATGGCAGTGGTTCCCACTCTAAGTTCTTGTCTATAGAGAAGAGCGATCATGGAGCTCTTCAAGGATGCTGGGGCTCCCCTCCCATTAATTCCCCCCAGCTGTGGTGAAGGATGTGCCCTGCGACCCTCCCAGGATGGGGGAGCAGGTCTTAAGTACCAAGTGCACTCTGCCACTCCAATCTCCCCAACCCCTTGAATCCTTTCTTCAACAGTAAAGCACGGGCAGGCCTGGCCTTTCCAGGTCACACGCTTTTGCCCACATTTCGGGCCGCGTGTTGGCTGACCCACCAAACAAACTCATAGAACCCTTCCTAACGCTCCGAGCTGCAACAATAAATGCAGAATCTCTGCTTAGTGGGCCCGTGTCAGTAAACTCCCCCTGATCCAAATTTACGTTCCTTCCAGTGCTATCCCACACCCTTAACATCCAGCCCCATCCGTGGCTCCCTGTCTCTGCCTGTATAAATCAGAAAAGTCTGGTAGCTCTTTTGTTATACAGCACGCCTCCTCGTGGGTTACACTTGTTGCCTCCCTTCAAGGGCCCTTCTGCAACCGCAGTCCTGTTTCAGGTCTGGAAGCGGAGCGGGGGGCGTCCGGAGGAGCAGCAGCGGTGTCCTTCAAGGACATTTCCTCGGGGGAGGCCGTTGCACTTCCCTCGGGCAACTCAGAGCCCCTCTCCTGGACTGGGGTGAAGAGGCAGCGTCTACGGGGTTTGGAGAGGCTGCTTCCTCTGGTCCGTCCGAGGATGACCCGTGAGTGTCTAGGAGCTCAGTTCTCCCAGCGTCATCAAGGTTTTCCCTCATGTTCCCATTCCTCCCCAATCTATGCCTTCACTTTTATGGTAGCTACAGTGGGAGTTCGGGAATCCAATTGGCATTGTACTTCAGCCACTCACTGAACGACAGCCTGGGTTTTGCTTCCAGCCAGCTCGGCCTCAAGGCTGCAGCAGAGAAGCGTCTCTTTCAGGGCAGACATAGAAGCTTTCAGGTCACCGAAGCAGTGCTTGAGCAGGGTATGGGCATCTCTGAGCTCAGCCTTTTCTTTTCCCACGTGGTTCAGTGCCAGGAGGACAACCAGACATTCTCATTATACTCTTTACTTTGACAACACTGTCTTAGAGTACCATATACATGCTCACTCAGTTCCTTGCCTCTTACAAGTGCTTGACGGAGAGCATCCGACGGTGAGATTTTGTGTGTCTCTACGGCCACATCACGCCGCCGACGATCAGGGGGCTCTTGACTGCTGCAGTGCAGTCGTTAGTGCCTTTAAATATAATCACACTCAAGAGCCAAATCGAGAACCCACAGCCAGTTTAAAAACTCAGTATTGAGATTCTGTTCTTTAGAAACAGCCCGGGTACCAAAGTTTGCATGAGACGGGGTTCTCATGCATGAGAAACAGCCCGGGTACCAAAGTTTGCATGAGACGGGGAGAACCCAGCCGTCAAGCTGGAGACACAGCAAAGGGCCCGTGGTGCAGATGGACTCCAAGGGCCATCTGCGGCAGAACGCCCTCTGGCTCGGGGGAGGTCAATTTTGGGTTCTGTTCTGACCTTCACGTGATTGGAAAAGACCCACCCTCATTATAGATGGCACTTCACGTAAAGTCAACGGATTTAAAAGTTATTCTCATCCAAAAGCACCCATGCAAAGTCATGCATGATAATGTGTGAACACAAACCTGGGCACCGACGTCCTGCCAAATTGACACAGAAAAGGAGCCACCACAGGGTCGCTCTTTCAGTCTTTTCTTTTTCATTCCGTCTTCATCTCTTTCTTTCTAACACACATACTGTTACGTGCCGAGATGTTCCCCGGCCTATGGTTTACATAATTTAATCTGTTTCTGTGAAGTATGCTACATAATTGCCAGCGGAACTCTATGGACCAGATAGGGAAAGCATCTGCATTTTCTTTGTACAGGCGACAAGACGACATCTCACAAAGGCGATGTGATTTGCTCGAGGCTAAACAGACAAACTGAGGCCATTCCAGAAGTCAAACCCAGACCTTCTGGGTTAAGATTCCTAGCCCTTCCAAATTACTTGTAGCGCCAAAAACCTCAGTAGAGGGTGCCCGGGAGACTGCAGCGCTGCCCATATTTTAAACCACTTCTTGACATCCATAGCATTGCTGAGTCGCCCTGGCTTTTACCGTGTGCTGTGTGCATGACGTGGGGCAAGGGTAGGCATTCCCGGCTCCATTTTCTAGGTCTCCTTCTATTTTTCTGTCTGTATTGTGTTAGCTTTCTGTTGCCTTGGACAGTAAGCAGCACCGGAGAGAGGCTGGCGTTGATGGTGTGGTTCTAGCAGGAACAAGACGGATGAGGTCCTTCTTTGTATTTAGCCGCTGACCTTTCAAACAGGAGCCGCCAGTGAATGGGTAAGAAAAGAGGCCCGGATGCATTTTCATCCCCTGGTGAGGCTGCCGACTTGTTTACTCCTCAGCTTACATAATGGTATTATTACCTTTCATTGTGGGCCCGGGTGGACTCTGCTCGTTCAGCCCCATTCTGTGGCTGAGGCAGCAGAGATTTTCTTTTTAAGCGATAAATCCATGGATCAGACAGTATACCTTATACCTGAATTAACCTCCAGCTCTTAACTCATGGCAATGAAATACTACGCTTCACAGGATGAATGAAGTGCAAAGTAGAGAAAGAGATAAGCAGAGCCCGATGGTTTCCATAAAAATGATACGATGGGCTCAGCAAATCAAACCTTGGGCTTGCACTAGTAATTCATACCATATATTTTCTTCACGAAGCCTTTCTTCTTCCATCTAATGCGCCCCACTCGGGGAAGCTGAATGGTTCTCCATGATGGCTCCAGAGCACTTTCCTGTAGAGCATGAAAACAACAGCAGGGGACTCAAGAGCAGGTATCCAGTCCAGCTCGGGGAATCTCCTTGGAACCTGCTGCATGCCTGGCACTGGGCCTGCCGCTGTCCGGAATTCAAGGATGCGGCCACTTTGAGGGGGGAAGAGGCATCGATTTAACCCACAAGCGCATGTCTGTGGTGGCCCCTCATACAGCCAGCACTGTTCCAGGCACTGTGGTACTCGGACAGGAAACTGAGAGAAGGAGTCAATATTCACAATCGCTCGTGGCCTTCCAATCCAGCTGGGAATGACCGTGAGACAGAAAACAGGAGCCACAGGAAAGAAGCAGGGTCGCCATTCATCGTGAGACTGTAAGTGCAGCTCGGTTTCTGAGCAGAAAGACATCCAGGCGGCCTGGTGCATTTGGAATCGGCGGGGCAGGGGGCAGGAAGGAATTGCAAACCAGGGAGCAGAAGGACGAGTGAGATTCATCCAGACAGAAGAGAGGAGAAAACTTATCCCGAGCAGAATGAGGGAACAGCGAACAGCCCCGAGGTGGGAATGGGCGTGGCCGACGCGGGCAGCAGCAGGGAGACGAGAGAAAGGACCGTTGGCCGCATCAGGGGCGGCCTCACGGGGCCACGGAGAGCGCAGTGGGCTAGCGGTCAGCGGGCCGGCGGGAAGGTCCAGCGGTCCTGTCCTGGCTGCGCGCTCGGTGCATGGGTGGCCTCGGGTCGGTCAGGGAGCTGCTCCCTGCCAGCTCCCCCGGCTTCGTCCCTGTGACCTGAGGATACGGACAGGAGTGGGCCGCCCTCTCCCGCTTCTTGTGAAAACTGCGAGAGATGGTGCCCGCGGCATGTTTTATAACAGTAAAGGGAAAATCAAGACCCTTTCCCTCTTGCAGTGCACGAGCACGGGGCACGAGTGGCTCCTGCGCGAACGGGCCGAAGGGCTGGCTTTCTTCGGGGCTGCAGGCCGAAGGCGACTGTGTGGGGCGGGGGGCCGGGGGGCGGCGGGTGCTCATTCATTGATAGGAAGACAATTTCTGCCCGTGGAGAGTGCCACGCCCGGAGTCTGGGCGCAGCGGAGACAGGGGAGCTCGGCAGCGGTGACTCCTGGGTTCTCCGCCGGGCTGCCGAGGCCACGACCTCTCTCAAGGCGGCGGCTGGACCCCGACGTCAGATGACACGGGTGACGGAACTCTGCGTGAAGACCGGTGAGGGGTGCTGGCAGGAGACCTGGAGCTGGAGGGAGCCCTATCTGAGGCAAGCTTAGGGTGCACCTCATACTGACTATTTGAACCGAAGCGGCAGCCTCCTTTTCGGGGCCCCCGTTCCCTCTTCTGCCAGGGGAAGTACAAAGAGCAGCAGGCCCACTGCCTTGCAGAGCGGGTTGTTGCAAGGATCCAATGCACGCGCCCGACGGGAGAGGTGTCTGTAAGCTCTCAAGTGGCAGGGCAGCGTGGCTCGTTTTCCTCACCGATCAGTGAAAACTGCGTGTTCCGATCAGGGGCAATGGGCTCCTGGAGCATGCTCTGCCCTCCCGGGGAAAGGCTCTGTCGCAGAAGGCGAGCTGTTCCTTAGCGCGGTATCCTGGGCCGGCAGCGGTTCGCAGTAAGAATCACAGGCCGCACGCTGGCACCTGGGCTCATGGGGGGTCGCCTGCAGGGACGCTGGCCGCGGAGCTGGACGGAGGCCCCGGGGCAGCGAGGGCCCGCCGTCCTGCCGCTGCCCGGAGAGGAATCGCAGACGAGGACTCAGGCAGGGTCAGAGCTCCATCCCGGTCGGCGTCGCCACGTTCCCATCCGGAGCGCGCTGACGTTAGGCCCGACGCTTGGAGTCTGTATATAGTTCAGTGCGAAGCTCCTCTTAGGATGAAGATCAAGGAGCTATTTGAAAAAGGGAAACGTTCGCACCTACAGTCAAACACAAGGGAGACCTGCCTGCGCTCCGCCCGGGCCCTTGGTTGACGGACGCGAGGACCCCGCGGTCAACGGGGTTCCCACGGGCGCGCGGCCACTGCCGCGTTCCCGGTGAGGGGCACCGGCTTACGAGCCTCCCACCAGCCTAGACGAACCTGCACCGGTGTGACGTCCTGCCCGTCCAGCCGGCTAGGCCTGCCGGGCTTCCCGGGTCGCTGTGCAGGAAGACGAAACACACACACAGGGAAACCCGAACACCCGAACGGCAGCGGGCGTCTTTCCTTGCATGCGGCGGCCACGCGGCCTGAAGGTGCGCAAAACGCCTCCCTCCCAGACACGGCCCGCAAGGCCTGGGAGGAGGACCCGGGTTTTGCCAGCGGGCCACGAGAGGGTGCCCTCGGAAGGCCGGCTGTGCATCTCGCCAAGCGACGCCAGGGCCGGAAAGCGCGCTCCCGCTTCGCACGCACTCGGGCAGGCGGGAGAGTCTCCACCAACACCGCTCCCCGGACCTTCCTGGGGGCCCCTGGGCCACGGTGCCCCAGCAGGCGCGGTGACGTGGCCTCCGGGCACGTGGCGGGCCACCCGGGCCCCGCCCCTCGCTGGGCCGCCCCGGCCGCCTGTTGTGGCGTCACCCGCAGCCACGCGCCCGTTCCCCAGGAGACGCGCCCGGCGCTCCCGAGACTCCCAGGCCCCAGCCGCAGAGTCCTTGGCCCTGACCCAGAGACTGTCCTACAGCGAGTGCCCCGCTCCCAGAACTGCCCTCCCTCGCCTCCGGCCTCATGAGTGAGGCCGGGCAGGCCGCCCTCCGGAAGGTGGCCGCCTCGGTCTCCCGCCGGGCGGCGCGGAGACCCCCTGCCGTCCGTGGCAGGCGGAGACTGTGCCCGGGCCCTAGTCACCAGCAACGTCGGTGGACGCCGCGCCCCGGAAGCGCCGGCGGCAGCGGGCGCCCCGGGCAGGGCGCCCAAGAGAGTCATCGCCAAGAAGGTGCGCGGATCGGTCAAGTGGTACAACGTGAAGCGCGGCTACGGCTTCATCAGCAGGCACGACACCCGGGAAGAGGTGTTCGTTCACCACTCGGCCATCGCCCGGCGCAGCTCTCGCAGGTACCAGCGGGGCATCGACAACGGGGAGGCTGTCGAGTTCGACGTGGTGCAGGGCGAGCGTGGCGCCGAGGCCGCCAACGTGACCGGGCCGGCCGGCGCCCCGGTCAAGGGCAGCCGCTTCCACCCTGGCTTCTACATCGGCCCTAGCGTGCCGCAGCCGCGCCGTGGTGCCAGGGGCGCCGGCCGCGCCGAACAGGGCGTCGTCGTCGACGGCGGCAGAGAAGGCTTCGCCGCAGCCCCGGGCCAGCGGCGCCGCAGGCCCCGTGGTGCGCGCGCCCTGCGACGGCGGCGCTTCCGGCCCTTCCCCAAGGCCCGGGCCGCCCTTCGCCGCCTTGCCAGCTTCGCTGCCGCCAGTGGCCCGCAGGCCGCGTACCAGCCCGCGCCCGCCCGAGCCGCAGGGCCCGAGGGCGCACCGCCGCGCCGGGGCCACGGCCCCAGCTACCGGATGAGCCGCCCCAGGGGCCGGGCCCCTGCGCGTGCTGCGAAGCCCTCCGCCGACCTCGCCCCCAGGCTGCCGGCGGGAAAGAAGGAGGAGAGCGCGAGCGACGCCGCGGGCCTGCAGCAGGGGCCCCCGCCCCGCTACGCACCCTGCCGCCCCAACGACCCGCGCCGTCGCCACCGCGCGCAGCCGCCGCCTGGCCAACAGGGCCAGAAAGCCGCCGAAGCAGCAGAGGGCAAGATGCGGAAGGGCCCTGCTGGGAAACCCGCTGGCGCCGCCCAGAAGCCCGGCGCCTCCAAGGGGCCAGCCGCCCGTGCAAAAGCCCCCTCTGCTGCTCAGGCCCAGTAACAGCCCCGCTGCCTCCCGGGGACTCCCTGCTCCGGGCTGCAGGGGATGTCCCCTGGCGGAGATCGATGGTCCCCTTCGGCTCCCGCCCTCCAAACATCCGCACGGACTGTTAGATTTGCGCCCTGAGAACAATCCGTACCCCTTCCCCAAAGTTTGAGGATAAACGGCAAGACCTCTCTATTTCCAAACTCCACTCTCTTCCCATCTGCCGCGGTGGTCTCCCCACACACGCACACAGACACACCTCTGAGTCCATTCTTGTAGATTATCGGACCAGGGTCGCAGCTGGGATTCTCCATCGCCGGGTGAACGAGGTGCAGCAGTCGAAAGTCATTGTGTGTAATGCAAAAGCAAACGTGGTCTGATATTGAAGATTTTCTCACGTTGTGCGATATTACTCACCTGAGCGGTCATTTCCTCAATAAACCATTTCCTTTTGCTTTTATCCGTTATCACTGTTGTCTGGTGTTTTTCAGCGCGCCAGGGCATAAGTGTCCTGGGACAGTCCCTTCAGCCCTTTTATCAGAACCAACCCAGCAAACCCCACGCGGAAGCCTAATTCTGGGCCTAGGCGGCGAGCTTCTCCGGATGTTCTAAAGGAGGAGGATCCTCCGAGAGCGAAGACGAGTCCCCATCACTTCCTTTTCCATCCCCCCACCCCCACCCCCACGCGACCCCCCCAGAATGGGCCTGCTCAGGCTCTGTAGATAGTTTCTTTCCGTGGATTTGCTCTGCGACCACGTAGGTGCCTAAGAGAAAGTGGGCATGAGGGGTAGAGGGTGGGGGAAATGGATGCATGTGGGTCAAAAGGTGCCAACTTCCAGTTAGGAGAGGAGTGCGTTCCGGGCACCGAATCCACAGCAGGCTGGCGTCGCCAAAGACACTCTCGGGGGCCCCTGAGAGTCACTCTGCCAGCACGATGGAGGGTCCTGGGCGCGGGGAGTGGGGGGGATTGAGAGTGGGAGTGGGGGGGGCGGGGCAGGGGACAGCCATGGGGGAAAAGGCGGGACAACTGTAGCTGAACAACGATCAGACAGTCAAGATTTTAAGAGCAAAAATAATGTACATCTTCCGTGCTCTCGGCAGGATAACAGCAACAACATGGTAACTATGTCAAGGGGAGGGGCTGTTAACTATCCTTGTCCTGGGAACCGCGGCGCGATACATCCATGTTTCAAATCTCCACGTCGTGCGCCTTAAATTTACACAATGTTATACGCCAATTGTATCTCAAGAAAGCGAGGGGGAAAGCGGAAGAAGGAAAGACAAGACAAGAAAAGTGGGCGTGGAAGCAGGTACCGTGATTGCTGTGCGCGCCTCTGGCGCTGGAGAGAAGCCTCTAGCCCAGCTTCCCTCGGGGCTTCCCGGCTGAGTCCCTCCGGGGCGGCCTCCGGAGGAGTCCCAGGAGGCTGCCCAAGTGGGGCTCAGCCCGCCTCTGGCCCTTTCCCGTCAGACAGAGAGGCTCCGACTTCCCTCTCCTGGTTCTCCTGTGACCGCAGAGTGGGGTTGGTGGGCGGGAGGCAGGGGTTGGGTTTGCGGGGACTGGGTGGTTAATAAATGTGAAGCCAGCAGGTGTCTCTTTTTTTAAAAGATAGATTCATTCATTCATTTTTAGAGAGGGGGAAGGGAGGGAGAAACAGGGAGAGAAACGTCAAGGGGTGGCTGCCTCTCGAGCGCCCCCTCCCTGGGCACCTGGCCTGCCACCCAGGCCTGTGCCCTGACTGGCAACCGGAGGAGCGACCCTTTGGTTTGCAGGCCGGCGCTCAATCCACTGAGCCACACCACCCAGGACAGCGGGCGACTTCAAAACCTCATTTCACGACTTCAGAAAATTGCATTATCAATAGGACAATCAAAGTCCTTTCCCTGGGGTAAAGCTGACGCGTTTCTCAGCACATGGTAGACTAGCAGGAGAGATTGGGAGAGCGAGTCTTGCGTCACTCGGCGCGGCTAAATACCCTCCGCAATCGGAGTGGAAGCGGTGGAGATGTCTCCTTCAGCACATATGGCAGTGCCCCCTTGTGCCAGACTCTCCGCCAGGCACTAGGACTTGCATCGTGGCGAGGATGAAGGTCCCTTGTCTCCAGGAGCCCAGCGTCTGGTGGAGAGGGCGACAGAATGGGCCATGAGAACACGCTGCAGGGAGTGCTCGGCCGAGGGAGGAAACACAGGTGACCCACGCGATGGCCGGCTTGGCTCCAGGTTATAGGAGCTGCTGCTTGGATGCTTGAGTCAAAAATTTTCCCTCGGAGCCGGCTCCCAGATGGCCGGGTGGGACACACAGGGACTGTACACCTACATGGCGAGCAATCCCTGCTGAACGGCGAAGGAGCCTGCACGGAGAAGCTGCAGGAGAGGCTGAGATGGGGTGACCACGGGAACCCCGCCCCAAGGGCGAGGCCTGCGGGGCAGAGGGATGCCACTGGGGGGTGGGGGCTAGCGAGGGCCGACTCTCCTGCTATAAGGCCCGGAGATGACACAGCGAATGAAAGGGCAACTAGACTCTACCCAAAAACGATCCATTGACTCACCCCGAGGCACCTACCTGCCCAATAAATGTGTGGGGAACTTGCTGGAGTTTCCTTGGCTCGGAGGAGCTGGCAAACGCCGCTGTTGACATTCCTCCTGCAGCTAGATGGCGCTCCAGCCACCCCGCAAGGCCCCCCCGCAGGGGACCATGGACCACCTGGCCCGGCCTTAGTGGCCGCCGCAGGGAGACGGGCTCTCAGGGCGCCCCCAGACCGCCGTGCTAGGCCGCCTCGTCCCGCGACTGCTGCAGCCCAGGCACGGTGGCCCGCCAGGGCACCCCAGGCGCGCTGCGACACAGCCGGCTCAGCCAGCCCAGCCAGCCTCCACTGCAGCCGCAGCCCGCGTGAGCCGCAGCCCCAGCCCGCCAGGCCCACAGGGGGCCCCAGAGCCTGGCACCCCAGGCCAGCCCAGGGAGCACCTGCTGCAGTTCCATTCACTCGACCCCCAGTATGCACCCTGGAGCCGCATACCCCGACCAACTCACCCTGCGACCCCTGCGACCCCTGCGACCCCTGCGACCCCTGCGACCTCTGCGACCCCAGCAGCTGGGCCCCTAACCAGACCCCAGAGCCTAACATCCACGTTCCCTGCAGCCCCAGAAAACAGGACCACCGGCAACACCCCAGGGACCCCGTGCTGCGGGCAACCTCGGCCGGGCCTTATAGAAGGCTCGCCAAGGCGCCCCCAGCTCCATGCCCGGGGCTCTCTCAGCGGGAGAGGGCTGCGGCCCTGCCTCCAGATCAGCAGGGCAGAGAGCACAGGCATCGTGAAGAGGGGAATGGAGGACGGCCGTCTTCAGGTCGCTGATGGGGAGCATGTCTGCCACGTGTCACCCGCTCCAGGAATTTAGATTTCAGTTTAATGTCTACGAGCCCCACCATAAACAGAGCCACTTTAAGGGGGAGCTGGAGCTGCCATCCCAGAGGGACTGCCTTTGAAATGTTAAAACGGGGCCAAATATCCTTTGGACTGGGCCTAAACCAACAGTAGGTCCCAAAGAGCTGTTTGCAAAGCTAACAAGAAGGCAGATGGAACTGCTGGACTGCCGATTAAAAAAAAAAAATTCTTTAGAATCAGCACCACTCACTTTAGCTGCTCTGCACTGATAGAAAAACAATGCTTTTCTTGTACTGAGGTCATTCTTCCCCTTCGGTTTCTCCGAGTTCCCCGTTGCCTTCGTGTCCTCCTTGGAACTCTCTTTGGGCTTCTGCCTGATCACTGCTTCCTGCATAACTATTGATTTCTTCTGTAATTGTTAAATCTCATGTAAATGCTTGTTGCCTCTGACTTTGAAAGGCCTTTTATTTTTAGGGTAACACATCTGGCATCTCAAACAGGATCTAAAGTGGCCTCATTTCGCTGGACCAGAGTTCCCTGGAACCCAGGAACCAGGTATGGGTTCCTGCTGGGGATACGCTGAATAAAGGAAATGACAAAGGGAAAGCAAGAATCTTGACTCTTAGGAAAATTCCCTGTGTCCTTCCTCCTCGGGTCTACCATTGCTTCAGGAAACTGGGTCCTCTTATTATTAAGAGCTAAATTTTGCTTACAACCATTTAGCTTTCTGTGTTTTCCTGAAAAGTCTTTAAAGATTCCGCGTGACCAGATGTGACCCTAATGAGACTTCATGGTATGTTAGGTTCCATGGGAAGCATCGTCAAATAAATGATGCTAAACTTTTTATTGCATAAGAGACCTCAAATTCTGACATAGCCTGGTATACTGCTAACACAACTGCGGTGTCTCTCTGTCTCCTCAACTTGTAAACCTTGTCATGTCTTAGGAACGGAAACCCCCAGGAGCTCACCCAGACACTGTCCACAGAGACTGAAGGAGAAAAAGAGGGCTTTTAAAATGCAGACCGCTGGATAAGCTGGTTCCCTGGCCAAAACGGACTTTAAAAGAACGAAAGAGTGTATGTGAAAAAATAGGATGTTCTATTTTCAACGGGAGAAGGTATGAAGCATGGAGATACGTTTTGTTGCGAGAAAGGAAAGGAGGATGTGATTTCTGGATAAGGAAGGACAGAAAAACACAGGACTTTGGGGGGAGATAAGGAGGAAAAAGTCATTTTGTCCTATAGTAAAATGACTCTTTGAAAATAGGAAAGGAGCCCTGGCTGGTGTGGCTCAGTGGATCGAGTGCGGGCCTGCGAACCAAAGCACCGCCCCTGGGATTCCGGGCCAGAGCACGTGCCTGGGTTGCGCGCCAGCTCCTCGCCTCGGGGCGCGCCAGAGGAAACCAGTCCTTGTACCTCTCACACATCGGCGTTTCTCTCCCTTCCGTTCTCCCTCCCTTCCCATTTCTCTAAAAATAAATAAATAAAATCTTTAAAACAATAAAATGAGAATGAAAAGGAGAGGGGAAAAAGCTGACAGGTACCTAAAAGTAGCAGGTTTGTGGAAGTTGCAAAAGGATTACGGAGAAGGTATCTCAAGAGCTTTACATATGGCCAAGGAAACTAAGATTGG